CCCCCCCCCTTCCTGCAGTCTCTCAAACTGTTTTGTTTTGTTTTTTTTACAATGTTTTTTTTTCACTAGTTCAGAAAGCTCCCAGTGTTGTAATACACAGTGCTGATCCAATGAGGTAAATGGGGCTGAGCCATCACAGTACCAGATGTTACCTGGCATCCATGAAACAGGACTTTAGTCAGATGTAAATGTCAGATGGTCCAAATTTCTTGTCCTTTGGATAAATATTAAAGAGGAAAAAAAAAAAAACCAACAAAATCAGAATATCTATATTTAGCAGTCAACAGAAAATGAGAACTTCCTCTCTGTATGTCAGTCAGCCCTCTACATCAGTCACTGCAGATTGCTCAGTGCTCCAGTGCTCCTTAGAAATTGTTATGGCCCCTCACTTTTGTTATTAAAATATCAGCATCAGACTTCAAGTACCTTAAATATATTTCGCTCAGTTAAGAGGTTGGTGATTTAGATGATGTTTTAAAGATCATTAAATGTTCCTAGCTCTCTTCCTTTACTGCTCCAGTCTCACATATGCAGAGTAACTTAAGTATGGGTAAGCACTCAGGGGTGTCTTAGGGCTTTCAAGAAAGCAATACTAATTAAAATACAGCTAACAGAACTACCTTAGGTTTGGCTCTTGAGCAGATCCTTTTCTTACTGTGTCATAAATCTGGCCTAAAAGCATGCTGAACACGCAAAGCTCGGACTGCTCATAATTGAATCAGCAAACAGGCTTCTTATAAGGAGAGGGCTAAAGAAATCTGAGATTTCTCATTTCCGATTTTCCTCCAGCATTACCATTAAATTCATTTTGTATTTCTAAAGCTCTAGCATTCTTTTTGAAGAGTAAGGACAAAATTACTGTAAAATCTAAGATAATTGATCAAGTGTTCAGGTAAACATTAACTAACAATACTTTTCCATTTTTAAAAATTCAGTCTGTAATGAACTTGTTTATCTTGTTTGTGGCAGAAAAGTTTTAACTCAGAATTTTAAGTTCACTGGGGAAAACTGGATATATGTATGCACAATATATGTATGCAGAGGGACTCCATTAAATGAAGTTGTGCTACCTTCACATTAGCTCACTGTATGCCATGAAAGGTGGATGGTTCTTCAGTGGTGATGGTTTGAGCAAGTGTTAAAAGCTCAAAAAGCAACATGAGACAGAATTTTTTTCTCAAATGTATAGTGCCACTTTTCATGTGTACCAGAACATGTGCAAAAATAATAGAATCATAGAATCATAAGATTACTGAGGTTGGAAAAGACCT